GCCTGTTCTAGCACATTAATGGTTGCAAAGCCTTTATCAGCCCCTTGCCATATCGAAAAACGTTCACCACTCAATTTTTTTGTATAGCTGGGAACATTATGGGGTCACCTTTTTTTTTTTTTTTTTTTTTGGGCTCCTGGGTGCCAATCTGTTGATTTTATGACAGGCGACCATTTGGTTTGAAAAGCTACCTTGTGACAAACTTTTGTGGCATCATGTTCATACATACATACCATACGTAAATCCATGATTCGTCCTATGTTACGATTTCAAAAACGTTCTGGGTAACCGAAGCTGTATTTGATTTCCTTTTGTTCAAATCATACTGTACTACTGTATCTCGCGGAATGCTACTGTAAACCACACATTTGAGAAATTTATTGGACTGTATCTTATTTTTATTCGTTTGTCAATATTGAAAATGGCGTTTCTTTGGGAAAATGTTTTGTGGCCCTGAAAAGGGCCTTTTTGTCTTAGGTTCTGCAGAGAAACAAATTTACTTGGAGCTGGTGTACTTGGTGACAGCCTTGGTTCCCTCACTAACAGCGTGCTTGGCCAACTCTCCCGGCAGCAGCAGGCGCACAGCAGTTTGGATTTCCCGACTGGTGATGGTCGAACGCTTGTTGTAATGAGCCAAGCGAGACGCCTCGGCGGCAATGCGCTCGAAGATGTCATTGACAAAGCTGTTCATGATGCTCATCGCTTTCGACGAAATACCAGTGTCAGGGTGGACTTGCTTCAGAACTTTGTAAATATAGATGGCATAGCTCTCCTTCCTCTTGCGCTTCTTCTTCTTGTCGGTCTTGGTGATGTTCTTCTGAGCCTTTCCAGCCTTTTTGGCTGCCTTTCCACTAGTCTTGGGCGGCATTTTATTTCACTTTACTTTCACAAATTATACTTTGCGTGGTGAGCGTAAAAAAAACCAAACCTTATACTTTTATTCGAGCAGTCTATTCAAGTTAAACATACAGGCGGAAAACCCACCCCTAGGTTGAACGCTCAAGCAGACGGAAAGGTATAAATATAGCGTCATTGGGTGCTCAACTCAATTCGTTTGTGAACAGTGAAATAAATAAATATCTACTATTAAAATGTCTGGTCGTGGTAAAGGTGGCAAAGTGAAGGGAAAGGCAAAGTCTCGCTCGAACCGTGCTGGTCTTCAGTTCCCTGTTGGTCGTATTCATCGTCTGCTTCGCAAGGGCAACTATGCCGAGCGTGTCGGTGCCGGCGCTCCTGTTTACCTGGCTGCCGTGATGGAATACTTGGCCGCTGAAGTTCTAGAGTTGGCAGGCAATGCTGCCCGTGATAACAAGAAGACGAGAATTATCCCTCGCCATCTGCAGCTGGCCATTCGCAACGATGAGGAGTTGAACAAGCTGCTCTCGGGCGTCACCATTGCTCAGGGTGGAGTCTTGCCCAACATCCAGGCCGTTCTGCTGCCCAAGAAGACCGAGAAGAAGGCATAAATGTTCCAATAGCCACAGCAAATAGCATTCTTGTACATGTACATATAAACCCAAACGTCCTTTTCAGGACGACCAAACCATGGCTAAAGAATTAAGAGAATTTTCATAATTTATTATCATTCTAAAGTAAAATCTACTTCGGCTTGGTGTCGCATCAACAGACAATTAAAATACATATTTATGCAGGCTAAGCCACTCTATTTTCTGTTAATTGATAACGAAGAAGTTACCTAAAAAAGTACAGTTGTGCTCGACTCGCCTGAAAGACGAAAGAATTCAAGGGGCTGAGGCTGAGTGTCTGGGGACCATAATTTGTGTACCTGAGATTTCGCTTTTCCAGTACATTTCAGGCAAAACACGAACCAAATTTTACCAGCCGAATTATACCTAAACAATATCTCTCGCCAGGTATGCGCTAAATTCGGTCCTTTTCAGAACGACCAATCCCATGGTCGCATGGGCCTCAGCTAGTTCAGTTGTGCTGGACTCGCCTGAAAGACGAAAGATTCAAGGGGCTGAGGCTGTGTTGGGGCTTGTGTCCTGGATTTCGCTTTTCCAGTAATTTCAGGCAAAAACGAACCAAATTTTACCAGCCGATTATACCTAAACAATATCTCTCGCCAGGTATCCGCTAAATTCGGTCCTTTGGCCCTGTCAGCTAGTTCAGTTGTGCTCGACGTGTCTGAAAGACGAATTCTAGGGTATTTAAATACATATCATGCCATGCTATGCTGAATGCCCTAGTTCTCTTCGGTCGCTTAGATGGGAGCACCTCATATTGTTGGATTGCCAAGCCAAGGTTCATGTTTTCTGCTTTGAATCTTGCGTTTTTTTTTTTTTATATCAATTAATATGAAAATATGCCTCTCTTTTTGATTATTTTGTGGTCCTGAAAAGGACCGATTGTTTACTTTCTGGATACTTTCAAACAGCAGACTGTACACAGTTTCTTAACCGCCGAAACCGTACAGCGTGCGACCTTGTCTCTTCAGAGCATACACCACATCCATGGCTGTGACTGTCTTCCTCTTGGCGTGTTCGGTGTAGGTGACGGCATCACGGATAACGTTTTCCAAAAACACCTTCAGCACTCCACGAGTCTCCTCGTAGATGAGTCCGGAGATACGTTTTACACCGCCACGACGAGCCAAACGGCGGATAGCGGGCTTCGTGATACCCTGGATGTTATCGCGCAGAACCTTGCGATGACGCTTAGCGCCTCCCTTACCCAAGCCTTTGCCACCTTTACCACGACCAGTCATTTTTCAATATGCTTGTGTTTCACTTTACGAAGAACGGGAGCGAATGTAAGTAAAATTTTTCTCGCACTGCTATTTATACCAAAACACCATAGAAACACGAGTGAGTCCGAATGATATGTGCATCTCGTTCGGGATATGAAACAGCATGCTTCGGCTGCTCTCGTTCTGTCGTTTCAACCCTCCGCCAGAAGAATGAGAATGCTATATAAGCTAGCATAGTTGGCTGCGATCGCTTATTGTCAATTCGAATTTTGAACATTGAAAGTGAAAATGGCCCGTACTAAGCAGACTGCTCGTAAATCCACTGGTGGCAAGGCGCCACGCAAACAACTGGCTACCAAGGCCGCACGTAAAAGTGCTCCAGCAACCGGTGGCGTGAAGAAACCTCATCGGTATCGCCCTGGCACTGTTGCCCTGCGTGAAATCCGTCGTTACCAGAAGAGTACCGAGCTGCTGATCCGCAAACTGCCTTTCCAGCGGTTGGTTCGTGAAATCGCTCAAGATTTCAAAACCGACTTGCGTTTCCAGAGCTCAGCAGTAATGGCCCTGCAGGAAGCTAGCGAAGCCTATCTGGTCGGTCTCTTCGAAGATACCAACTTGTGTGCCATTCATGCCAAGCGTGTCACAATCATGCCCAAGGACATCCAACTGGCCAGACGTATTCGTGGCGAGCGTGCTTAAGTTGACATTTCTTCGACAAGCACATATAAACTTTGTACAAATCGGTCCTTTTCAGGACCACAAATAACTTACATTGAGATTTTTTATTTCTACATACTCGCATTATTTTTCCCCAAATAAAATATGTACATACTAGGTCCCATATGGAAATATTTACTCCTAATATACGGCATTACTGCTCAAAGCAACTTAAACAAAATAATACTTGTAAAGAAACTCCTTTCTGGTGACCCTAACTTACTAAAAAGCCAAGGTTTCCCCACCAATTCTCGCATAATAAATTAAATAAGCTTGTTTTTTAAAATAAAAAATAGAATACGAAAATGAATTGTGGGAAAATCATCCAATAAATCCATAGCGTATATGATCCGTATTAAATGTATTAGCATATGTATATTCTTCATGAGTTCTGTTCTTTGTTGTAATGTTAATGAAACATGTGTGCATGTTCCGTAATAATAAGTGGGTGGAATACAATTTGGGGCGATACAAATAATTCTCATTTATTTGGGGAATCAAATAAGTTTTTTTGGGATGAACTAATCAGAAACAACCAGCTGAACAACCTCATAAATTATAACCAATATTATTATAGTTTTTTGACGTATTACATTTATTTGTGGACATTATTTTAACGTAATTTTAGTATCCAAGCTTTTCCAATGACCAATAAATTCAATTTTTTGAAATGTCAAGGATATGCTTAAACGACAGAAGCAACTTGGCATAGGCTTTTTAGACTAACAATCGAAAGACTAGTATGTAATAAAAGGCCGTTTAAAAATTTAAATATATAAAAATATTATACAAAAGTAATGGAAAAATGTTTTCAAGATTCCTATAATTCCTATAAAGCAATCAAATTTGCGAAAAATGTATTCTTTCGATTTTAACTTTGCAATTAATTAAATTGCCACTGCTGTGTGGGTATGAAAGTATGTTATTTTTGGGTAAATATTAACAAAAATGGATCAGAAATAATATTATATTGAAAATCGTATTGATTTCCTTAAGAAAAATGCCTAATAATAATATATTTTTAAGCATTTATATTTTTTGACCACTAAATTCAATGCTGAACATACCCAGAAAGTAGTCTTTTTGTACTCTATAGGGTTATCTTCAAAACGATATTAAAATACCATACTAACCGATATGTGAATATATGTCTATAGTTTCTTAAAGTAAATTGATCAAATTTAATGTTTCAAAAACAAGTTTTGCCAAATAAGCTAAAATTGTTATTTATAAATACCATTGAATCCCAAATATAAGAGTTGGCTAACTACTTGTCAAAGTTTGGACAGGTATTAAAAATCGATAATGGAGGATATTTAACAAATAAATTATTTAAAATAGAATTTGAAACATTTAAGAATCTGACTCAATAAAACTGTATTTTCATTACTTGATAAAAATACGTTAAAAAGTAGAAATAAGTCAGACCCTCAATGAAACTTCTGCAACACAAATCACCAATGCTGAAATCATCTTCCCACTGCCCTTCTACTCGCTTCTCATTCGAACAGGGGACCATAGGCCCGCCGCGTTTTGCAACTAAAAAGTGTAATTTTATAAAGAATAATGTCTGATTCTGCAGTTGTAACATCCGCGTCTCCAGTGGCTGCTCCACCAGCAAAATTTATTTCTAAAAACTAAACTCAGGGTCTTTCTCAAGACCGGAGCACGGGGTGTACTGGACACAAGCCAGAGTAAAACGTGAAATTGACACTAAAAAGCATCGAAAGCTAAACGGAAATCGTATATACTCGTATGTGGCCAACGGAAAAAGTCAGTGAAGCCAATTTAAACGAACGACATAATAATAAATACAACATTGAGAGGCGCAGCATAAGTAAAGAAAAATTAATAAGACCCGTGTCGTGGCTGCCGGATGGCGGTCAGCTCGAGGCAGTACTGAAAAATGATTATGGCCGCATAGTGGAAAAACATAAACATAAACGCGCAAAACCCAAAATGGATATGTCCCAGTTAGCCGCCGCTTGTCACAGCCATGAAGTGATGGTCGACGAAGGCGATGACGAATGCGACATGGAGCAGGAGCAAACTATCACTACCGCACAACTAGATGGAATTCTGACAGAATTACAACACCTGAGAGAACACAACAATAAACTGAAGAAAATAAATGATGAGCTACAGACAGCCATCAACAACATGAACAACGTGAACAACATGAACAACGTGAACAACATCAACAACTGTAACAAGAGCGGAATCCTCACAGACTCCGACTCGGACTATCCCTCATTGGGGAAAAAACGTCACAAGGATTCGTCGAGCCCATCGCCCACAAAGACGAAGAAGAAGAAGAAGACCAACACCACACCATCATCAGCAACGTCAACGTCAACAAAGGCAGCGGCGTCGGCAGCAGCAACGGTGCCATCATCATCATCGGCAGCGACGGCAACAGCAGCAACGTTGCCATCATCATCATCTCCAGCGACGGCAGCAGCATCAAATATGGTAAAACCAAAAGAACAAATTCCTAACATATCTATCTATAATTACAACCCTAAGTTACTTACTAATTTGATAAAAAACCACAACATTACATTCATACTAGACATTAAGAATAAAAATCTTGTACACCTTAAGACTACAAACATGACATCATTTATGAAAGTCAAAGAAATCTTAGATAACCAGCAAATCAAATACTTTTCACATACACCAAAAGAACTGAAACCATACACATGCCTTATAAAAAAAATACCATTAAGCACCTACGATATAGAGGAAGTAAAGGGGGCACTCAATGAAAGCCTACCAGATGTAAAAATTGAAAAAATTAAACCATACAAAGAGAAATTCTGGCTGGTACAGATAAAAAAAAACCCTGAAAGTATTAGGCAACTACTAAACCTTAAGACATTACTAAACTGCCGCATATCAGTAGAAACCATAAAACCTCATAGAAATTCAATCATCCAATGCCACAACTGCCAAAGATTTTCACACATTGCCAGCAATTGTAAACTATCATACAGATGCGTTAAATGTTTGAACGACCATAGTCCAGGGCAATGCCCAATTAAAAAGACTGACAGTCCGTCCGAAGACGTTAAATGTGTTAACTGCAAGGGGCAGCACACAGCTAATGCCAAAATTTGCCCAATTCGTCTTTCAGCATTAGGAAAATTGCAGCAAAAAAGGGACCAATCTCAAAATAAAACAAGCAAAACTCTTAATAGAGCGCACCAAGCCATCAGGGGAGAGGCAACCTATGCGTCTCTATTATCCAAAAACAAACTAACAGAACCACCACTAACCAGACAAAACACAATAGTGACAAGTAACCCCAAATTACACGAATACATGACAAACAAATTAAATAGCAACGACATCAAGAATAAAAAAAAAGACTTGACCCTCTCCTTTGAGGACTTCAACAATGATACCATTGACGCCTTCGGGATGGATATCATGTCATGTCTAAAAATAATGCAATCCGTAACAAAAAAATATGCCAACACCAAAAACAGCGGCAACTCAAAAGCAGTTAAACAACAAATCATACTAGACTTTCTATTCCAAATGTCCATGACATAATGCAGCTCAAATGCATTTTTCAAAATGTTAATTCACTCGTATCTCTCCAAAAAAGATACGAATTAGACAACTTATTAACAATACACAAACCAGACATCATGCTCATTGCGGAGCACCGCCTCAGCGACAAACATAATATTCAATTAACAAATTATATGATGACGAAAACAATCTCATATTTTATCATAAGAAAAACTGTAATCTCAATCCAAAGGATCTAGTCTTTAATAAAAATCAGTAAAAATAAGAATATGAATACCCAAAAACCCCTAACTCCCATTGTACATAAACCCACCCTTCTCCCACCATCACCCACATCCTCGTTAATTAATTAATTATTAAGTAGTTATCAGTTATATAGTTATAGTACTAGTCTTAAGAACAAACACAAAACACAACCCAATGAAAATGAGGTTTTTACTCTAAAAGAGTTTTCCTCAAACTATGATCTAAGCATCATCATTAATAGTACCATCAAAACATAATCAAAGTACAAAATAAACATATCAAACAAAAACACAACCATAAGTTAAGCCTGGAGAAGCATAAAGCACAAGGCAGCATATACCCATACTAATATTAATGTCTCTGGATTTGTCAACCATTGTTCATATATAAAATAAGGTAAATAATGTTAATATTACCCAACAACTTACTGACCAATAAACAAAAAGTTAAAAAAAAAAAAAGTTTTGCAACTAAAAAGTGTAATTTTATAAAGAATAATGTCTGATTCTGCAGTTGTAACATCCGCGTCTCCAGTGGCTGCTCCACCAGTAGCAGCGGAGAAGAAGGTGGCCGCTAAAAAGGCATCTGGATCCGCTGCGGCTACTGCAAAGGCAAAGAAGCCCACAGCTCCACCATCGCATCCCCCAACTCAGCAAATGGTTGACGCTTCTATTAAGAGCTTGAAGGAACGTGGCGGCTCATCGCTCCTGGCCATCAAGAAATATATTACTGCCGAATACAAATGCGATGCCCAGAAACTAGCTCCATTTATCAAGAAGTACTTGAAGTCGGCCGTTGCCAATGGAAAGCTGATCCAAACAAAGGGAAAAGGTGCCTCTGGTTCGTTCAAACTGTCGGCTTCCGCCAAAAAGGAGCCCAAGCCAAAGGTTGCGTCGTCTGTGGAGAAGAAAGTGAAAGCCAAGAAGGTGGTGTCATCGGCAGCAGCAAAGAAGACAGCAGGCCCCAAAAAAGCAGCCGGAGCCGGTGACAAGAAGCTAAAGGCAAAGAAGACAGTCGCCACCGCCACCAAGAAGACCGCCGAGAAGAAGAAAACTGAGAAGGCAAAGGCCAAGGATGTGAAGAAAGCTGGAACCGTGAAGGCGAAGCCAGCAGCGGCAAAGGCCAAGTCGAGCCCTGCAAAGCCAAAACCAAAAGCAAAGGCTGTAGCTGCGCAGCGGCGTCTGCCAAGCCCAAGAAGGTGACGAAAAAGCCAGTTGCTCCCGCCACCGTAAAGAAGCCGAAAGCAAAGACGACGGCGGCCAAGAAGTAAATTGCGAAATTGTACACGTTGGTGTACACGGTCGCATTCGAAATTTTAGATGATTGTACATCTGAAATTGATTTAAACAAGCCCTTTTCAGGGCTACAAAACTATATCAAAAGAGATAAAAATTATCCGGCCGAGCCCCACTTCATTTATAGGCAATAACAGATACGATTTTAGATTCTTAGCCTGGCAGCGAAAGAACATGGTATTGAAAATGGTTTTGCTTTTAAAAATATTCTGCAGGAATATGAATCCCCCCATGTCCCCATTTTGAAAAGATTTAGCCTATTCTAGCAGCATTAATGGTTGCACAATGCCTTATCAGCCCCTTGCCATATCGAAAAACGTTCACCACTCAATTTTTTTGTATAGCTGGGAACATTATGGGGTCACCTTTTTTTTTTTTTTGATATTTTGGGTCCTGTCACCATGCAGCCATACGTACCATGATTCGTCCTATGTTACGATTTCAAAAACGTTCTGGGTAACCAGCTGTATTTGATTTCCTTTTGTTCAAATCATACTGTACTACTGTATTCGCGAGAAAATAGATGTTCATACACTATTGAATGCAAATACTGTAAATTACACATTTGGAATTTATTCTGCAGCATTAATGGTTGCACATGCCTTATCAGCCCCTTGCCATATCGAAAAACGTTCACCACTCAATTTTTTTGTATAGCTGGGAACATTATGGGGTCCTTTTTTTTTTTCGATATTTTGGGCTCCTGGGTGCCCAAAAATCTGTTGATTTTATGAACAGGCGACCATTTGGTTTGAAAAGCTACCTTGTGACAAACTTTTGTGGCATCATGTTCATACATACATACCATACGTAAATCCATGATTCGTCCTATGTTACGATTTCAAAAACGTTCTGGGTAACCGAAGCTGTATTTGATTTCCTTTTGTTAAAATCATACTGTACTACTGTATCTCGCGAATGTACTGTAAACCACACATTTGAGAAATTTATTGGACTGATTTTTTTGTATCAGTATCTTATTTTTATTCGTTTGTCAATATTGAAAATGGCGTTTCTTTGGGAAAATGTTTTGTGGCCCTGAAAAGGGCCTTTTTGTCTTAGGTTCTGCAGAGAAACAAATTTACTTGGAGCTGGTGTACTTGGTGACAGCCTTGGTTCCCTCACTAACAGCGTGCTTGGCCAACTCTCCCGGCAGCAGCAGGCGCACAGCAGTTTGGATTTCCCGACTGGTGATGGTCGAACGCTTGTTGTAATGAGCCAAGCGAGACGCCTCGGCGGCAATGCGCTCAAGTTTTCCTTTCCCATTGGGCGCATTATGTCATTGACAAAGCTGTTCATGATGCTCTTTTTTTTCAAGTTTGCAAGTTTATTTATTGTCATCTTTCATATTACAGTAGCACAGCTTCTGCTTAAATATATAGTTATACAAGAGTGACAGGTTCAAGCTTACTTTAACTTATGTTTATAAATTTACTCTGCGCTTTAAGCTTATCAGGGTGCTAGTCTTTTGGTTACTAATATTAGACATCTTATTTTATGATTAGTTTAGATTATGTTATTATATCTAGTAGTTAGGTGTATATTCCAGGAAAAAAGGTTATGATAAAAACCTGAATAAATTTGATTTTTGTTGGGTTTAAGTCTTATGAGCTAATTTATATACTACGCTTATTCTACTTTTGGGGTGTATTTATAAGGAGGATGAGGAGGGGACTATGTACAGATTGAGGAGTTAGTTGGTAGCTTATTGGCTGATATTATATACCAGCCCGTCGGCTTGACTAAGGGATTGGTGTCTTCTGTGGTGAAAGATTAGGTTTTCGTCTTCGTCGTAGATGATACCCATTGCCATTAGATGGCTTATGTGATGGGCAGTCAGGCACTCGGTGGGGTAGATTCCAGGTATTTCGGTTTGCGTCATGTTTTCTCTTTCAATGAGCTTCTCCAGTATTTTAAACATAAGTCTGTCTATCCTTGTTGTCTCAGTTAATGTGTAGAGCCGCTTGTTCGGTATGTAATTGCCGGTCAATGCATCTCGGCTTTGGGTTCCAATTGACTTGCGAAGTATTTTCCTTTCGAATCGTCGCAGCTCTTCCATTTGGGCAGACGTTATGTTCATCCACGCTACATAGCCGTACATAATAACTGGTTGTATAAGTTTTCTGTAGGCTAGAGCGTAGATTTTGGTGAGCTGACTAATATTCCCTTGAGTGGCAGCTATTGGCTTGTAGATGTGCTGGATCTTGCTCAGCATTGCACATGCTTTCCTCCTGGCAGTTTCTGTGTGTATCTTGAAGTTGAGCTTTTCGTCGTAGATGACGCCGAGGTACTTGAACTGCTTCTCGTAATTGATTGGCAGTCTGTCATAGATGTACAGACTTGGCTCAAATTGTCTCGCATTCCTGTAAAGGTCTCCCCGTCGGGGGCCTTTGAGGATTGAGCTGGTGCATTTGCTTGCGTTGAGCTTGAGGTGCCATTTGGTAAAGTAATTACACAGTATGTTCAAGTACTCGTTTAGCTCTCTTTCAGCGGATTGCATTGAGCCTGAGGAAGCCAATAGCAGGATATCATCGGCGTAAATTAGTGCCTTAATTCTTGTGGTTGAGCCGGTAGGGATTTGGTACTCGGGCATGTCTGCCAGGTAGATGTTGTAGAGGATGGGCGCTAGCAGTGATCCTTGCGGAACGCCTGCTGGGATCGACCTTATTAGGGACAGATCAGCGTCATCTGGGCTGCATACCTGAAATGACCTGTTTGTAAGATAGTTTAATACTACCTTTATAATGTCTGCATTGAATCGGAATTGGGTCATCTTGTAAATGAGACCGCTGGTCCAGACTGTGTCAAATGCTTTCTCAAAGTCCAGAGCACAGGCTATTGTAGCACGTTTGTGGGATAGATTCTCAAAGATGAAATCATTTGCTGCGATAAATGCATGGTTGGTCGATGATTTCGCTCTAAAACCATATTGAGAATCCTTCAACGTGCTATTTGAGTCCATGTGCTTCTGTATTTGTCCCATTATAATTTTTTCCAGCAGCAGACTTATTGCAGATAGAAGGGCAATAGGTCTGTAGGCCCGGAGGCTGTGCGGACTTGTTCCTGGTTTGTGGATAGCGATGATTCTGCTGTTCTTCCACTCGGACGGAAAGTATCCCAAGTTAAGGCAGTGGTTGAACAGTATTGCCAAGTGGTTTAGGATAGGCATGTTGCAGTGCTTCATCAGAAAGTTGCTAGTGCCGTCCGGTCCCATGGTTTTCTTTGTGTTTTTCATTTTCAGAATTTCCAGAAGATTTTCTGCGTTTGTGAATCCACACTCATGGGACTCGGGCCAGTTACCGTCTGCTGTTCTGGAAGTATTAAATGTAGTTTTGTATGAATTTAACGTTGTGGATATTGATTGGGCTATTGTTTCGTTAACGGTCGTTGTGTGTGCCCTGAGGATAGGGTCTGAGTCGGTGATGTTTTCGTTTTGGCTATGGATTCTTTCAAAGGACCAAGCAAGGGCATTAATTTTGTGAAATGTCGAAGATATATTTGGAGAGGTGCTAAGGTCTAGATCTATGTCTATTAAGGCAGCTTCCTCGCTGGTCAAATGTAGGTCATGAGCTAATTGTTCTTTCGGAGGAGAGTTTGGATTAAGTCCTTGAAGTGTTTTATGGCTAATTCTACTTGGATCTATTTTGCGTAGTCGATGGTCTATTGATTTTAGTTCGGCTAATTCTATGTGGCTGTTGATTTGTATGTCCAAGTCCTTTATTGTGTCTTTTATTTGGTTTCGTTGGTCTGGTGTAAGAGTGGATAGGCGTCGGAAAAGGATACGTCTAAGTTTTCGTTTTGTTTTGATTAGGTTTAGGCAGTAGGTGCTAAGTCGGACGGACGGATTGTTTGAGTTAGTCGGATTTATGATGATTTTGGGGATTGCTTCGTCGGAATCAAGGGCTCTGGCTACTGCATTTGTTAATGTATGGACGTGGCTATCTATGTCAGCTGTGTTTATATTTTGAGTGTTGGGGATGGGTCTGAGGTTCTGTAGGATTATTGTATTCCAGTGGATCGGACTTATTTTCTGAAAATTGAGTAGAGACTTGGGTTGGTTGTATGTTAGTCGGTTCTGTCCTAGATTTATGGTAAGGGTTATTCCAAAGTGGTCTGAAGGAAAGTCTTTTATGGTTTTGCAGCCATAGGTAGATGTTAAGCTGTCTATTGGGGTTGAGGAGGACGCTAAGAAAAAATCAATTGAGGAGGCTCCTCTCGGATTCGGTCGTGTGGGTTCTTGGGTTGGATGTAGAGACAAGAATGGTTGGTCTGCCAGCCATCTCTCCAAGCTATTTCCAGACGTGTTGGTGTGTTCTGGACGGTACTCAGGCCTATTCCAAGATGGGTGTTTCGCGTTCAGGTCACATCCCACTACGAATTGCTCATGGTCCTCTAATTTAGCCAGCGAGTGCATTAGAATGTCCAAGTCTGTGACTAGTAGAGGATCTTGAGGACGCAGGTACAGAGAGATTGCAATCAGTCCCGTTCTTATGTTGTTTCTGCTGGTGTGGAAAATTTGCACTGCCACAGCCTCGATGTATTGCATTTGGTCGATTTTCACACGTTCGTATTTAAGACCATTTCTCACGCAGATGGCCACTGATGTTGCAGGGCTTCTGGTGTTATTCTGCGTGGTTGTTAAGCTTGGCATCTGTTGTCTCACGAATTGGTAGTGGCTTAATCCGGGTGAGTGTAGGCATCGCAGATTGTGCTCAGCGAGCAGCATCAAATCTGGCCTGTGTTTGTTAAGCAGCTCGTTTAATTCTTTCCGCTTCCGCAGTTGAACGATGCCATTGACGTTTTGGAACATGATTTTTACTGGCATTTTAGTTGAGCGCAATTTGAATCAGGAAATCTAGAATTAGTTGCCTCTTTCCCTTCATATCCGTGCTGGAAGTTGGATACTTCTTTACAACGGATTGCATGATGTCGAAGCAGGTAAGCAGATCTTTTCCAAATGCATCCACAGAGTCCTCATTTAGTTGTTCAAATGAAAAACTGGCTTTTTCTTCAGCTCTCTTGGGTTTCTCTTGGCGTACTCTGGGTGTTTCCTTTACCTTTACCTGTGGAGGCATTGGTCGGCTTTTGGCAGCTGAGGCGTAGCTTCGTCCCTTTTCAAGTCGGCTTTGTGGTGGGGCTGGAGTTGTGATGGTCTTATTGGCTTTACTCTCTGTAGTATTGCGCCGTTCGGATACCTTCTTAATATATTCCATTCGTACCGGGCAGATCTTTGCATTGGCCGTATGGTTACCTGAGCAATTTACGCATTGAGTTTTTTGTGCCGAATCTTCTTGGCCATCCTTTTCTTCCCTTTTCTTTAGGGTGCATTGGCCTGGGGCATGCGATTTCGTGCATTTGACACAGCGGAATGTCATTTTGCAGTTGCTTGCAACATGGCAGAATCGCTGGCAGTTGTGACACTGCTTTATTGCGTTTGGGTGCGGCTTGAAACCCTCGATGTTTATGCGGCAGTTCAGGAGTGTTGTTACTTTAAATATCATGTTTATTTTTGCCGTTTTCTCCACTTGCACCATCCACAGCCTATCCTTGTATGGCTTTACCGACAGGATGTTCAGCTCAGGCACGGCCTCAATAAGTGCTGCTTTTACTTCTTCGGCATTATACACTTCGAGTGGAAGTTTCCTCAGGATTACTGTATGTGGCTTTACTTGTTTGGGTGTGTAGCTGTAGTACAGCACCTTGTCCTTGTTAAAGCGTTCCTTTGTCTGGTTAAAGTCTGCCAGTGAGAAAACCTTAACATGTATCACATTTTTGTTAATAATGTTTAAAGTAAATTTCTTTGCCGTTTCCTTAAGGATTGTCGTTAGAATCTTGGCATTTTGTTGATACGTCACTATGACCGGTAGACCTTTCTCTTTTGCAGGTTCTGCTACCGGTGGTTTTTTTGGCGTCACATTTCTTTTTGGCACAGGCATTGGTTTAGTTGGTGTTTTGGGTGTAGGAAGTTTTGGATAGTTGCTCACATCCTCAGTAATTGTTTTGGCTGGTTTCTTTGGCGAGGGCGGTTTTGCACTTTTCTTTCTTTCCTCCTGTTTCGTTGGTTTTGGTGTTGATGTGGTGCTGGGAGTTTTTTCCAGGGCGTCAAAATATTTTTGGAACTTTATTTGCTGTTCACGGAGGTGTTTTAGCTCTGCCATTATTCGCTCCATCTCAGCACGGTCCATTATCACAGTGTCGATTTCCGTCTCACATTCACTGATGTCATCACCTTCACTTAGGTCCTCGCTCTCGCTCTCACTGTCTGTTGTGGAGTACAGTTCATCTCTGGTCCTCTTCACATTGTCACTTTCGGCCTCCATTGCCTCGATGTCGCGCAACACTTCTTCACTTATTTCCGATTGCGCTGCCATTGTTTTGCTTCTTTCCACACTCTTTGTACAGATTCTTTTCTCACACTCATCAGGAGCGGGAATCACTGCACTGCACTCTGCTCTTGCAGTTTTCCTTTGTCTTGCACAATCACTGTTCACAATTGTTTTTATTAAAAGTTCAGGTAGTTTGGCAATCTATGCGACACTCTGACTTTTTCCACTTGTTCACTTCACTTTGGTTTTTATTGCACTTCACGTTAATTCACTTTGCCACCTTTACCACGACCAGTCATTTTTCAATATGCTTGTGTTTCACTTTACGAAGAACGGGAGCGAATGTAAGTAAAATTTTTCTCGCACTGCTATTTATACCAAAACACCATAGAAACACGAGTGAGTCCGAATGATATGTGCATCTCGTTCGGGATATGAAACAGCATGCTTCGGCTGCTCTCGTTCTGTCGTTTCAACCCTCCACCAGAAGAATGAGAATGCTATATAAGCTAGCATAGTTGGCTGCGATCGCTTATTGTCAATTCGAATTTGAACATTGAAAGTGAAAATGGCCCGTACTAAGCAGACTGCTCGTAAATCCACTGGTGGCAAGGCGCCACGCAAACAACTGGCTACCAAGGCCGCACGTAAAAGTGCTCCAGCAACCGGTGGCGTGAAGAAACCTCATCGGTATCGCCCTGGCACTGTTGCCCTGCGTGAAATCCGTCGTTACCAGAAGAGTACCGAGCTGCTGATCCGCAAACTGCCTTTCCAGCGGTTGGTTCGTGAAATCGCTCAAGATTTCAAAACCGACTTGCGTTTCCAGAGCTCAGCAGTAATGGCCCTGCAGGAAGCTAGCGAAGCCTATCTGGTCGGTCTCTTCGAAGATACCAACTTGTGTGCCATTCATGCCAAGCGTGTCACAATCATGCCCAAGGACATCCAACTGGCCAGACGTATTCGTGGCGAGCGTGCTTAAGTTGACATTTCTTCGACAAGCACATATAAACTTTGTACAAATCGGTCCTTTTCAGGACCACAAATAACTTACATTGAGATTTTTTATTTCTACATACTCGCATTATTTTTCCCCAAATAAAATATGTACATACTAGGTCCCATATGGAAATATTTACTCCTAATATACGGCATTACTGCTCAAAGCAACTTAAACAAAATAATACTTGTAAAGAAACTCCTTTCTGGTGACCCTAACTTACTAAAAAGCCAAGGTTTCCCCACCAATTCTCGCATAATAAATTAAATAAGCTTGTTTTTTTAAATAAAAAATAGAATACGAAAATGAATTGCGGGAAAATCATCCAATAAATCCATAGCGTATATGATCCGTATTAAATGTATTAGCATATGTATATTCTTCATGAGTTCTGTTCTTTGTTGTAATGTTAATGAAACATGTGTGTATGTTCCGTAATAATAAGTGGGTGGAATACAATTTGGGGCGATACAAATAATTCTCATTTATTTGGGGAATCAAATAAGTTTTTTTGGGATGAACTAATCAGAAACAACCAGCTGAACAACCTCATAAATTATAACCAATATTATTATAGTTTTTTGACGTATTACATTTATTTGTGGACATTATTTTAACGTAATTTTAGTATCCAAGCTTTTCCAATGACCAATAAATTCAATTTTTTGAAATGTCAAGGATATGCTTAAACGACAGAAGCAACTTGGCATAGGCTTTTTAGACTAACAATCGAAAGACTAGTATGTAATAAAAGGCCGTTTAAAAATTTAAATATATAAAAATATTATACAAAAGTAATGGAAAAATGTTTTCAAGATTCCTATAATTCGTATAAAGCAATAAAATTTGCGAAAAATGTATTCTTTCGATTTTTTGTGACTGCTGTGTGGGTATGAAAGTATGTTATTTTTGGGTAAATATTAACAAAAATGGATCAGAAATAATATTATATTGAAAATCGTATTGATTTCCTTAAGAAAAATGCCTAATAATAATATATTTTTAAGCATTTATATTTTTTGACCACTAAATTCAATGCTGAACATACCCAGAAAGTAGTCTTTTTGTACTCTATAGGGTTATCTTCAAAACGATATTAAAATACCATACTAACCGATATGTGAATATATGTCTATAGTTTCTTAAAGTAAATTGATCAAATTTAATGTTTCAAAAACAAGTTTTGCCAAATAAGCTAAAATTGTTATTTATAAATACCATTGAATCCCAAATATAAGAGTTGGCTAACTACTTGTCAAAGTTTGGACAGGTATTAAAAATCGATAATGGAGGATATTTAACAAATAAATTATTTAAAATAGAATTTGAAACATTTAAGAATCTGACTCAATAAAACTGTATTTTCATTACTTGATAAAAATACGTTAAAAAGTAGAAATAAGTCAGACCCTCAATGAAACTTCTGCAACACAAATCACCAATGCTGAAATCATCTTCCCACTGCCCTTCTACTCGCTTCTCATTCGAACAGGGGACCATAGGCCCGCCGCGTTTTGCAACTAAAAAGTGTAATTTTATAAAGAATAATGTCTGATTCTGCAGTTGTAACATCCGCGTCTCCAGTGGCTGCTCCACCAGCTAAATTTATTTCTAAAAACTAAACTCAGGGTCTTTCTCAAGACCGGAGCACGGGGTGTACCGACAATCGACGGACACAAGACAGAGTAAAACGTGAAATTGACACTTAAGACAAGCATCGAAAGCGAATCGGAAATCATATATACTCGTATGTGGAAAAAAGAAAAAAAAGTCAGTGAAGCCAATTTAAACGAACGGCATAATAATAATAAATACAACATTGAGAGGCGCAGCATAAGTAAAGAAAAACTAATAAGAGCCGTGTCGTGGCTGCCGGATGGCGGTCAGCTCGAGGCAGTACTGAAAAATGATTATGGCCGCATAGTGGAAAAACATAAACATAAACGCGCAAAACCCAAAATGGATATGTCCCAGTTAGCCGCTGCTAGTCACAGCCATGAAGTGATGGTCGACGAAGGCGATGACGAATGCGACATGGAGCAGGAGCAAACTATCACTACCGCACAACTAGATGGAATTCTGACAGAATTACAACACCTGAGAGAACACAACAATAAACTGAAGAAAATAAATGATGAGCTACAGACAGCCATCAACAACATGAACAACGTGAACAACATGAACAACGTGAACAACATCAACAACTGTAACAAGAGCGGAATCCTCACAGACTCCGACTCGGACTATCCCTCATTGGGGAAAAAACGTCACAAGGATTCGTCGAGCCCATCGCCCACAAAGACGAAGAAGAAGAAGAAGACCAACACCACACCATCATCAGCAACGTCAACGTCAACAAAGGCAGCGGCGTCGGCAGCAGCAACGGTGCCATCATCATCATCGGCAGCGACGGCAACAGCAGCAACGTTGCCATCATCATCATCTCCAGCGACGGCAGCAGCATCAAATATGGTAAAACCAAAAGAACAAATTCCTAACATATCTATCTATAATTACAACCCTAAGTTACTTACTAATTTGATAAAAAACCACAACATTACATTCATACTAGACATTAAGAATAAAAATCTTGTACACCTTAAGACTACAAACATGACATCATTTATGAAAGTCAAAGAAATCTTAGATAACCAGCAAATCAAATACTTTTCACATACACCAAAAGAACTGAAACCATACACATGCCTTATAAAAAAAATACCATTAAGCACCTACGATATAGAGGAAGTAAAGGGGGCACTCAATGAAAGCCTACCAGATGTAAAAATTGAAAAAATTAAACCATACAAAGAGAAATTCTGGCTGGTACAGATAAAAAAAAACCCTGAAAGTATTAGGCAACTACTAAACCTTAAGACATTACTAAACTGCCGCATATCAGTAGAAACCATAAAACCTCATAGAAATTCAATCATCCAATGCCACAACTGCCAAAGATTTTCACACATTGCCAGCAATTGTAAACTATCATACAGATGCGTTAAATGTTTGAACGACCATAGTCCAGGGCAATGCCCAATTAAAAAGACTGACAGTCCGTCCGAAGGCGTTAAATGTGTTAACTGCAAGGGGCAGCACACAGCTAATGCCAAAATTTGCCCAATTCGTCTTTCAGCATTAGGAAAATTGCAGCAAAAAAGGGACCAATCTCAAAATAAAACAAGCAAAACTCTTAATAGAGCGCACCAAGCCATCAGGGGAGAGGCAACCTATGCGTCTCTATTATCCAAAAACAAACTAACAGAACCACCACTAACCAGACAAAACACAATAGTGACAAGTAACCCCAAATTACACGAATACATGACAAACAAATTAAATAGCAACGACATCAAGAATAAAAAAAAAGACTTGACCCTCTCCTTTGAGGACTTCAACAATGATACCATTGACGCCTTCGGGATGGATATCATGTCATGTCTAAAAATAATGCAATCCGTAACAAAAAAATATGCCAACACCAAAAACAGCGGCAACTCAAAAGCAGTTAAACAACAAATCATACTAGACTTTCTATTCCAAATGTCCATGACATAATGCAGCTCAAATGCATTTTTCAAAATGTTAATTCACTCGTATCTCTCCAAAAAAGATACGAATTAGACAACTTATTAACAATACACAAACCAGACATCATGCTCATTGCGGAGCACCGCCTCAGCGACAAACATAATATTCAATTAACAAATTACCAACTTATTAGACAAACAGCCATATGCTACAGAGACCAGACGCAACAATCAAGGGCAGTTCAGTTTCAATCTGCATCAAAAAAGGGACTAAATTACAACAAATAGACATTAAGCCACTACGCTTCCTGGAAGCGGTAGCAATAAAATTACACTATAAAGACAACAGGGGCAAACTACAGTCCATAGTAGCTGTCAGCCTATATAAGCGACCGCAGCACAGGCTCCTTATAGAGGACATCAATGCACTGCTCACCTCTATTGAAGAGCAAACCCTAAGCCCCATCATTGCTGCAGGAGATTTAAATGCCAAGCACCCAAGCTGGCATCTCCCCGAGAAAAGCCCAGCACATATAAACACCGATGGGCGAACGCTCCACAAATGGCTAACCGACCAACCAAATCTCACCTTATACCCAACTGATGAACCTTCTAGAAGGAACCACACTACAGGTAGACACTCTTCCATCGACCTCTTCATTTGCTCAACAGAGCTACCCGTCGAAGGGAGAGAGGGACTAAATAACTGACTACACGGCAGACCATTTTGGTGTTGAGCTTAAGCTACGCCTTGGCTGCTTTCATTTAGTTAAACAGGACTTACAAATAGTTAAAAATTACAAAAAAATCAATATCGAGAAACTAAACATGATGCTTATGCGAAACATAACGCATATTCCCAATAACAAAAACCTAAACAAGAATGAAATCGACCATCACATAGATAAGCTCACCAAAGCGGTGGAAAAAGCAATCGACTCAACAGAAGTCGTCCCCAACATACACATTGACCCGTCAAAGCCAAACAGAAGCATCCATATAAGCCAACATGCCGTCAAACTAATTGCACAAAGACGCGCTCTCAATCGCCTCCTGCACAGGAGGTACGAGACCATGTCAAGCCAAGAAAAAGACCTCACTAGAAACATGTTAAGAATAATGTCTATGCAAATAAAACTATACATTGAATCTGCCCACATACAGAACATAGAAAGCCAAATAGCAAAATTAGATCCATCCAAAATAAGCACCAAATTCCTATGTCAGTCCGATAAAAAGCAGCAAAATGATATAAAATTAAATACACAAGAACAAAACTCCATTGACATGAACATCATTTCCACACTCAATATAAAAACAGAAACAGATAAAATAAATGCACTCGCTTGGTCATTCCAAAACATACACAAGCAGAACGATTACATGACCTCATCTTCACCTGAGCTGCTCGCTCATGCTAGCATAGTAAATGAAACTGTGGAAAACGACTCGTCAATACTAACAGATATAGCAAACTTTAGTGACACACAAACTGCAGACGGGAAGTGGGAAGGAGCAGAGAGGGAAGGCTTCACAAACGCCAACCAACTACTGGAATGGCTCCAGGGTAAAAATAATAAAAAAACACTAGGACCAGACAATACCAGCAACTTCCTACTAAAAAAATTCAATCTTATCATCCTCGATTATATCGCCAAAATATTTAACAACTGCTATAACATCGGATACTTCCCCATTGCTTGGAAACAAAGCAAAGTCATTGCGATTCCCAAACCAAAATCTGACCATAAAACCCTACGGGGATATAGACCCATCTCGATCCTATCAGCAATCAGTAACTTATTCGAAAAAATGTTGCTAGAAATGCTAAAGCAACATCTGGAGAAAACCAAAACACTCAAAGATCATCAATTCGGCTTCAGAGAGGGGAACTCAACCAACCACTCCCTAGCAGTAGCAAACAATTTCATTTACACAAGCCTACAGAAAAAAAAGCCAACAATTGCTGTTGCATTAGACCTCGAAAAGGCTTTTGACACTGTCTGGACAAACGGTCTAATCTACAAAATGATGAAAGTCCACAAGTTTAACACAAAGACAACTAGAATAATCCTCAATTACCTTACAAACAGAACTTTCTATGTTAGTAGCCAAAATGGGAAAGAAAAATCCTCAATTAGAAGCATAACGGCAGGAGTCCCGCAGGGATCACTGCTGGCACCCATACTGTACAATTTATACCTAGCAGACATGCCAGACTATACCAGGGAACCAAACTCCACATCCACAGCCAAGATACAGCCATTAATCTATGCAGATGACATCCTACTTCTGGCAACAGGGGCCAGAATTTCCACCGCAGAGTCAGACTTAAACAGGTACCTAGAACAGCTAGTTAGCTACTTCCAAAAGTGGAGACTAAAATTGAACACTACCAAATGCGAAGGATGCTTTATCAAAGGGCCGAGGAACAAAGACCTAAACCGGAATGCGCGATTTTACCAGCCACAGATATACATTGACAATAACACACAAATACAATTTAAACCAACCATCAAGTACCTGGGGGTCATATATGATCAAAAATTAAAGTTCAGAGAACATATCAACAAGGCAATGAATAGGGCAAAAGGTCAACTAGCCAGCTTGCACCGCACCTTTGGAACACTGAACAGCGACAACAATGACAGAGTCACAAAAATAAGAACACTCATTTATAAGAAACTCATACAGCCAACATTAACATACGGACAAGTAGCATGGTTCAGCATACAATCAAAACAAATGGAAATGCTCAGGCTCTATGAGAGACGCATCCTTAGGCGTGCCATTGGTGCCCCTGCCAGAAAACCAGACACATGTAAATACATTAATAATAAAAAACTCTATAGATTAGCAAACGTAAATAGGTTAGACACAATTACATTTAAAATAATACAAAAATTTATAGACAAGAATGGTAACAGTACAAATCCCTTGATCTCGGAGAGTATAAGTCCGCTTAGGTTATCAGACTTTCAAACTAATGAACTGCTAATGATAAGGCACATTAACCATCTGAAAGAATTAGGTATAGTATATGATGACGAAAACAATCTCATATTTTATCATAAGAAAAACTGTAATCTCAATCCAAAGGATCTAGTCTTTAATAAAAATCAGTAAAAATAAGAATATGAATACCCAAAAACCCCTAACTCCCATTGTACATAAACCCACCCTTCTCCCACCATCACCCACATCCTCGTTAATTAATTAATTATTAAGTAGTTATCAGTTATATAGTTATAGTACTAGTCTTAAGAACAAACACAAAACACAACCCAATGAAAATGAGGTTTTTACTCTAAAAGAGTTTTCCTCAAACTATGATCTAAGCATCATCATTAATAGTACCATCAAAACATAATCAAAGTACAAAATAAACATATCAAACAAAAACACAACCATAAGTTAAGCCTGGAGAAGCATAAAGCACAAGGCAGCATATACCCATACTAATATTAATGTCTCTGGATTTGTCAACCATTGTTCATATATAAAATAAGGTAAATAATGTTAATATTACCCAACAACTTACTGACCAATAAACAAATTTCGTTAAAAAAAAAAAAATTTCGTTCGCAACTAAAAAGTGTAATTTTATAAAGAATAATGTCTGATTCTGCAGTTGTAACATCCGCGTCTCCAGTGGCTGCTCCACCAGTAGACCAATAAATATTCCGTGATCATTACACTATTAACTATCATAATAATATACAATAAACGGGGGGGGGACAGAAATTTATTTCTAAAAACTAAACTCAGGGTCTTTCTCAAGACCGGAGCACGGGGTGTACTGGACACAAGCCAGAGTAAAACGTGAAATTGACACTAAAAAGCATCGAAAGCTAAACGGAAATCATATATACTCGTATGTGGAAAAAAGAAAAAAAAGTCAGTGAAGCCAATTTAAACGAACGGCATAATAATAATAAATACAACATTGAGAGGCGCAGCATAAGTAAAGAAAAACTAATAAGAGCCGTGTCGTGGCTGCCGGATGGCGGTCAGCTCGAGGCAGTACTGAAAAACGGTTATGGCCGCATAGTGGAAAAAATATAAACATAAACGCGCAAAACCCAAAATGGATATGTCCCAGTTAGCCGCTGCTAGTCACAGCCATGAAGTGATGGTCGACGAAGGCGATGACGAATGCGACATGGAGCAGGAGCAAACTATCACTACCGCACAACTAGATGGAATTCTGACAGAATTACAACACCTGAGAGAACACAACAATAAACTGAAGAAAATAAATGATGAGCTACAGACAGCCATCAACAACATGAACAACGTGAACAACATGAACAACGTGAACAACATCAACAACTGTAACAAGAGCGGAATCCTCACAGACTCCGACTCGGACTATCCCTCATTGGGGAAAAAACGTCACAAGGATTCGTCGAGCCCATCGCCCACAAAGACGAAGAAGAAGAAGAAGACCAACACCACACCATCATCAGCAACGTCAACGTCAACAAAGGCAGCGGCGTCGGCAGCAGCAACGGTGCCATCATCATCATCGGCAGCGACGGCAACAGCAGCAACGTTGCCATCATCATCATCTCCAGCGACGGCAGCAGCATCAAATATGGTAAAACCAAAAGAACAAATTCCTAACATATCTATCTATAATTACAACCCTAAGTTACTTACTAATTTGATAAAAAACCACAACATTACATTCATACTAGACATTAAGAATAAAAATCTTGTACACCTTAAGACTACAAACATGACATCATTTATGAAAGTCAAAGAAATCTTAGATAACCAGCAAATCAAATACTTTTCACATACACCAAAAGAACTGAAACCATACACATGCCTTATAAAAAAAATACCATTAAGCACCTACGATATAGAGGAAGTAAAGGGGGCACTCAATGAAAGCCTACCAGATGTAAAAATTGAAAAAATTAAACCATACAAAGAGAAATTCTGGCTGGTACAGATAAAAAAAAACCCTGAAAGTATTAGGCAACTACTAAACCTTAAGACATTACTAAACTGCCGCATATCAGTAGAAACCATAAAACCTCATAGAAATTCAATCATCCAATGCCACAACTGCCAAAGATTTTCACACATTGCCAGCAATTGTAAACTATCATACAGATGCGTTAAATGTTTGAACGACCATAGTCCAGGGCAATGCCCAATTAAAAAGACTGACAGTCCGTCCGAAGACGTTAAATGTGTTAACTGCAAGGGGCAGCACACAGCTAATGCCAAAATTTGCCCAATTCGTCTTTCAGCATTAGGAAAATTGCAGCAAAAAAGGGACCAATCTCAAAATAAAACAAGCAAAACTCTTAATAGAGCGCACCAAGCCATCAGGGGAGAGGCAACCTATGCGTCTCTATTATCCAAAAACAAACTAACAGAACCACCACTAACCAGACAAAACACAATAGTGACAAGTAACCCCAAATTACACGAATACATGACAAACAAATTAAATAGCAACGACATCAAGAATAAAAAAAAAGACTTGACCCTCTCCTTTGAGGACTTCAACAATGATACCATTGACGCCTTCGGGATGGATATCATGTCATGTCTAAAAATAATGCAATCCGTAACAAAAAAATATGCCAACACCAAAAACAGCGGCAACTCAAAAGCAGTTAAACAACAAATCATACTAGACTTTCTATTCCAAATGTCCATGACATAATGCAGCTCAAATGCATTTTTCAAAATGTTAATTCACTCGTATCTCTCCAAAAAAGATACGAATTAGACAACTTATTAACAATACACAAACCAGACATCATGCTCATTGCGGAGCACCGCCTCAGCGACAAACATAATATTCAATTAACAAATTATATGATGACGAAAACAATCTCATATTTTATCATAAGAAAACTGTAATCTCAATCCAAAGGATCTAGTCTTTAATAAAAATCAGTAAAAATAAGAATATGAATACCCAAAAACCCCTAACTCCCATTGTACATAAACCCACCCTTCTCCCACCATCACCCACATCCTCGTTAATTAATTAATTATTAAGTAGTTATCAGTTATATAGTTATAGTACTAGTCTTAAGAACAAACACAAAACACAACCCAATGAAAATGAGGTTTTTACTCTAAAAGAGTTTTCCTCAAACTATGATCTAAGCATCATCATTAATAGTACCATCAAAACATAATCAAAGTACAAAATAAACATATCAAACAAAAACACAACCATAAGTTAAGCCTGGAGAAGCATAAAGCACAAGGCAGCATATACCCATACTAATATTAATGTCTCTGGATTTGTCAACCATTGTTCATATATAAAATAAGGTAAATAATGTTAATATTACCCAACAACTTACTGACCAATAAACAAAAAGTTAAAAAAAAAAAAGTTTTGCAACTAAAAAGTGTAATTTTATAAAGAATAATGTCTGATTCTGCAGTTGTAACATCCGCGTCTCCAGTGGCTGCTCCACCAGCAAAATTTATTTCTAAAAACTAAACTCAGGGGTCTTCTCAAGTGTACTGGACACAAGCCAGAGTAAAACGTGAAATTGACACTAAAAAGCATCGAAAGCTAAACGGAAATCGTATATACTCGTATGTGGCCAACGGAAAAAGTCAGTGAAGCCAATTTAAACGAACGACATAATAATAAATACAACATTGAGAGGCGCAGCATAAGTAAAGAAAAATTAATAAGACCCGTGTCGTGGCTGCCGGATGGCGGTCAGCTCGAGGCAGTACTGAAAAATGATTATGGCCGCATAGTGGAAAAACATAAACATAAACGCGCAAAACCCAAAATGGATATGTCCCAGTTAGCCGCCGCTTGTCACAGCCATGAAGTCATGGTCGACGAAGGCGATGACGAATGCGACATGGAGCAGGAGCAAACTATCACTACCGCACAACTAGATGGAATTCTGACAGAATTACAACACCTGAGAGAACACAACAATAAACTGAAGAAAATAAATGATGAGCTACAGACAGCCATCAACAACATGAACAACGTGAACAACATGAACAACGTGAACAACATCAACAACTGTAACAAGAGCGGAATCCTCACAGACTCCGACTCGGACTATCCCTCATTGGGGAAAAAACGTCACAAGGATTCGTCGAGCCCATCGCCCACAAAGACGAAGAAGAAGAAGAAGACCAACACCACACCATCATCAGCAACGTCAACGTCAACAAAGGCAGCGGCGTCGGCAGCAGCAACGGTGCCATCATCATCATCGGCAGCGACGGCAACAGCAGCAACGTTGCCATCATCATCATCTCCAGCGACGGCAGCAGCATCAAATATGGTAAAACCAAAAGAACAAATTCCTAACATATCTATCTATAATTACAACCCTAAGTTACTTACTAATTTGATAAAAAACCACAACATTACATTCATACTAGACATTAAGAATAAAAATCTTGTACACCTTAAGACTACAAACATGACATCATTTATGAAAGTCAAAGAAATCTTAGATAACCAGCAAATCAAATACTTTTCACATACACCAAAAGAACTGAAACCATACACATGCCTTATAAAAAAAATACCATTAAGCACCTACGATAGAGGAAGTAAAGGGGGCACTCAATGAAAGCCTACCAGATGTAAAAATTGAAAAAATTAAACCATACAAAGAGAAATTCTGGCTGGTACAGATAAAAAAAAACCCTGAAAGTATTAGGCAACTACTAAACCTTAAGACATTACTAAACTGCCGCATATCAGTAGAAACCATAAAACCTCATAGAAATTCAATCATCCAATGCCACAACTGCCAAAGATTTTCACACATTGCCAGCAATTGTAAACTATCATACAGATGCGTTAAATGTTTGAACGACCATAGTCCAGGGCAATGCCCAATTAAAAAGACTGACAGTCCGTCCGAAGACGTTAAATGTGTTAACTGCAAGGGGCAGCACACAGCTAATGCCAAAATTTGCCCAATTCGTCTTTCAGCATTAGGAAAATTGCAGCAAAAAAGGGACCAATCTCAAAATAAAACAAGCAAAACTCTTAATAGAGCGCACCAAGCCATCAGGGGAGAGGCAACCTATGCGTCTCTATTATCCAAAAACAAACTAACAGAACCACCACTAACCAGACAAAACACAATAGTGACAAGTAACCCCAAATTACACGAATACACGACAAACAAATTAAATAGCAACGACATCAAGAATAAAAAAAAAGACTTGACCCTCTCCTTTGAGGACTTCAACAATGATACCATTGACGCCTTCGGGATGGATATCATGTCATGTCTAAAAATAATGCAATCCGTAACAAAAAAATATGCCAACACCAAAAACAGCGGCAACTCAAAAGCAGTTAAACAACAAATCATACTAGACTTTCTATTCCAAATGTCCATGACATAATGCAGCTCAAATGCATTTTTCAAAATGTTAATTCACTCGTATCTCTCCAAAAAAGATACGAATTAGACAACTTATTAACAATACACAAACCAGACATCATGCTCATTGCGGAGCACCGCCTCAGCGACAAACATAATATTCAATTAACAAATTATATGATGACGAAAACAATCTCATATTTTATCATAAGAAAAACTGTAATCTCAATCCAAAGGATCTAGTCTTTAATAAAAATCAGTAAAAATAAGAATATGAATACCCAAAAACCCCTAACTCCCATTGTACATAAACCCACCCTTCTCCCACCATCACCCACATCCTCGTTAATTAATTAATTATTAAGTAGTTATCAGTTATATAGTTATAGTACTAGTCTTAAGAACAAACACAAAACACAACCCAATGAAAATGAGGTTTTTACTCTAAAAGAGTTTTCCTCAAACTATGATCTAAGCATCATCATTAATAGTACCATCAAAACATAATCAAAGTACAAAATAAACATATCAAACAAAAACACAACCATAAGTTAAGCCTGGAGAAGCATAAAGCACAAGGCAGCATATACCCATACTAATATTAATGTCTCTGGATTTGTCAACCATTGTTCATATATAAAATAAGGTAAATAATGTTAATATTACCCAACAACTTACTGACCAATAAACAAAAAGTTAAAAAAAAAAAAGTTTTGCAACTAAAAAGTGTAATTTTATAAAGAATAATGTCTGATTCTGCAGTTGTAACATCCGCGTCTCCAGTGGCTGCTCCACCAGTAGCAGCGGAGAAGAAGGTGGCCGCTAAAAAGGCATCTGGATCCGCTGCGGCTACTGCAAAGGCAAAGAAGCCCACAGCTCCACCATCGCATCCCCCAACTCAGCAAATGGTTGACGCTTCTATTAAGAGCTTGAAGGAACGTGGCGGCTCATCGCTCCTGGCCATCAAGAAATATATTACTGCCGAATACAAATGCGATGCCCAGAAACTAGCTCCATTTATCAAGAAGTACTTGAAGTCGGCCGTTGCCAATGGAAAGCTGATCCAAACAAAGGGAAAAGGTGCCTCTGGTTCGTTCAAACTGTCGGCTTCCGCCAAAAAGGAGCCCAAGCCAAAGGTTGCGTCGTCTGTGGAGAAGAAAGTGAAAGCCAAGAAGGTGGTGTCATCGGCAGCAGCAAAGAAGACAGCAGGCCCCAAAAAAGCAGCCGGAGCCGGTGACAAGAAGCTAAAGGCAAAGAAGACAGTCGCCACCGCCACCAAGAAGACCGCCGAGAAGAAGAAAACTGAGAAGGCAAAGGCCAAGGATGTGAAGAAAGCTGGAACCGTGAAGGCGAAGCCAGCAGCGGCAAAGGCCAAGTCGAGCCCTGCAAAGCCAAAACCAAAAGCAAAGGCTGTAGCTGCAGCTGCAGCGGCGTCTGCCAAGCCCAAGAAGGTGACGAAAAAGCCAGTTGCTCCCGCCACCGTAAAGAAGCCGAAAGCAAAGACGACGGCGGCCAAGAAGTAAATTGCGAAATTGTACACGTTGGTGTACACGGTCGCATTCGAAATTTTAGATGATTGTACATCTGAAATTGATTTAAACAAGCCCTTTTCAGGGCTACAAAACTATATCAAAAGAGATAAAAATTATCCGGCCGAGCCCCACTTCATTTATAGGCAATAACAGATACGATTTTAGATTCTTAGCCTGGCAGCGAAAGAACATGGTATTGAAAATGGTTTTGCTTTTAAAAATATTCTGCAATGCCCCCCAGCCCCATTTTGAAAAGATTTAGCCTACTAGCAGCATTAATGGTTGCACAATGCCTTATCAGCCCCTTGCCATATCGAAAAACGTTCACCACTCAATAATTTTTTGTATAGCTGGGAACATTATGGGGTCACCTTTTTTTTTTTTTTGATATTTTGGGTCTGTTCATACTTGGGTGTCCAAAAATTCTTCCTATGTTACGATTTCAAAAACGGGGTAACCAACTTTTGGTTCCTTTTGTTCAAACATACGTACTACCTTCCATGATGTCAACTTTTGTGCATATGTTTACACATTTCAAAATTACGTTCTGGGTAACCATAATGCTTGTGTTTGATTCCCATTTGTTCAAATCTCAATGTATACTGAATTTCAAAAAAAATCTGGGTTTTAACGAGGCTGTTTTGATTTCCTTTTGTTCAAATCAAATCATGATCGTCTTCTTCTGGGTAACCGAAGCTGTATTTGATTTCCTTTTGTTCAAATCATATGTACTAAATTTGCACCTTGTAAATTACACATTGGAGAAATTTATTGGACAGTATTTTTAGCTTATTTTTATTCGTTTGTCAATATTGAAAATGGCGTTTCTTTGGGAAAATGTTTTGTGGCCCTGAAAAGGGCCTTTTTGTCTTAGGTTCTGCAGAGAAACAAATTTACTTGGAGCTGGTGTACTTGGTGACAGCCTTGGTTCCCTCACTAACAGCGTGCTTGGCCAACTCTCCCGGCAGCAGCAGGCGCACAGCAGTTTGGATTTCCCGACTGGTGATGGTCGAACGCTTGTTGTAATGAGCCAAGCGAGACGCCTCGGCGGCAATGCGCTCGAAGATGTCATTGACAAAGCTGTTCATGATGCTCATCGCTTTCGACGAAATACCAGTGTCAGGGTGCACTTGCTTCAGAACTTTGTAAATATAGATGGCATAGCTCTCCTTCCTCTTGCGCTTCTTCTTCTTGTCGGTCTTGGTGATGTTCTTCTGAGCCTTTCCAGCCTTTTTGGCTGCCTTTCCACTAGTCTTGGGCGGCATTTTAGTTCACTTCCACGTATACAGGTTATACTTTGCGCAAGTTTTTTTTTTTTTTTTTGCAAGTTTATTTATTGTCATCTTTCATATTACAGTAGCACAGCTTCTGCTTAAATATATAGTTATACAAGAGTGACAGGTTCAAGCTTACTTTAACTTATTTTTATAAATTTACTCTGCGCTTTAAGCTTATCAGGGTGTTAGTCTTTTGGTTACTAATATTAGACATCTTATTTTATGATTAGTTTAGATTATGTTATTATATCTAGTAGTTAGGTGTATATTCCAGGAAAAAAGGTTATGATAAAAACCTGAATAAATTTGATTTTTGTTGGGTTTAAGTCTTATGAGCTAATTTATATACTACGCTTATTCTACTTTTGGGGTGTATTTATAAGGAGGATGAGGAGGGGACTATGTACAGATTGAGGAGTTAGTTGGTAGCTTATTGGCTGATATTATATACCAGCCCGTCGGCTTGACTTAGGGATTGGTGTCTTCTGTGGTGAAAGATTAGGTTTTCGTCTTCGTCGTAGATGATACCCATTGCCATTAGATGGCTTATGTGATGGGCAGTCAGGCACTCAGTGGGGTAGATTCCAGGTATTTCGGTTTGCGTCATGTTTTCTCTTTCAATGAGCCTCTCCAGTATGTTGAACATAAGTCTGTCTATCCTTGTTGTCTCAGTTAATGCGTAGAGCCGCTTGTTCGGTATGTTATGGCCCGTCAATGCATCTCGGCTTTGGGTGCCAATTGACTTGCGAAGTATTTTTCTTTCGAATCGTCGCAGCTCTTCCATTTGGGCAGACGTTATGTTCATCCACGCTACATAGCCGTACATAATGACTGGTTGTATAAGTTTTCTGTAGGCTAGAGCGTAGATTTTGGTGAGTTGACTAATGTTCCCTTGAGTGGCAGCTATTGGCTTGTAGATGTGCTGGATCTTGCTCAGCATTGCACATGCTTTCCTCCTGGCAGTTTCTGTGTGTATCTTGAAGTTGAGCTTTTCGTCGTAGATGACGCCGAGGTACTTGAACTGCTTCTCGTAATTGATTGGCAGTCTGTCATAGATGTACAGACTTGGCTCAAATTGTCTCGCATTCCTGTAAAGGTCTCCCCGTCGGGGGCCTTTGAGGATTGAGCTGGTGCATTTGCTTGCGTTGAGCTTGAGGTGCCATTTGGTAAAGTAATTACACAGTATGTTCAAGTACTCGTTTAGCTCTCTTTCAGCGGATTGCATTGAGCCTGAGGAAGCCAATAGCAGGATATCATCGGCGTAAATTAGTGCCTTAATTCTTGTGGTTGAGCCGGTAGGGATTTGGTACTCGGGCATGTCTGCCAGGTAGATGTTGTAGAGGATGGGCGCTAGCAGTGATCCTTGCGGAACGCCTGCTGGGATCGACCTTATTAGGGACAGATCAGCGTCATCTGGGCTGCATACCTGAAATGACCTGTTTGTAAGATAGTTTAATACTACCTTTATAATGTCTGCATTGAATCGGAATTGGGTCATCTTGTAAATGAGACCGCTGGTCCAGACTGTGTCAAATGCTTTCTCAAAGTCCAGAGCACAGGCTATTGTAGCACGTTTGTGGGATAGATTCTCAAAGATGAAATCATTTGCTGCGATAAATGCATGGTTGGTCGATGATTTCGCTCTAAAACCATATTGAGAATCCTTCAACGTGCTATTTGAGTCCATGTGCTTCTGTATTTGTCCCATTATAATTTTTTCCAGCAGCAGACTTATTGCAGATAGAAGGGCAATAGGTCTGTAGGCCCGAAGGCTGTGCGGACTTGTTCCTGGTTTGTGGATAGCGATGATTCTGCTGTTCTTCCACTCGGACGGAAAGTATCCCAAGTTAAGGCAGTGGTTGAACAGTGTTGCCAAGTGGTTTAGGATAGGCATGTTGCAGTGCTTCATCAGAAAGTTGCTAGTGCCGTCCGGTCCCATGGTTTTCTTTGTGTTTTTCATTTTCAGAATTTCCAGAAGATTTTCTGCGTTTGTGAATCCACACTCATGGGACTCGGGCCAGTTACCGTCTGCTGTTCTGGAAGTATTAAATGTAGTTTTGTATGAATTTAATGTTGTGGATATTGATTGGGCTATTGTTTCGTTAACGGTCGTTGTGTGTGCTCTTAGGATAGGGTCTGAGTCGGTGATGTTTTCGTTTTGACTATGGATTCTTTCAAAGGACCAAGCAAGGGCATTAATTTTGTGAAATGTCGAAGATATATTTGGAGAGGTGCTAAGGTCTAGATCTATGTCTATTAATGCAGCTTCCTCGCTGGTCAAATGTAGGTCATGAGCTAATTGTTCTTTTGGAGGAGAGTTTGGATTAAGTCCTTGAAGTGTTTTATGGCTAATTCTACTTGGATCTATTTTGCGTAGTCGATGGTCTATTGATTTTAGTTCGGCTAATTCTATGTGGCTGTTGATTTGTATGTCCAAGTCCTTTATTGTGTCTTTTATTTGGTTTCGTTGGTCTGGTGTAAGAGTGGATAGGCGTCGGAAAAGGATACGTCTAAGTTTTCGTTTTGTTTTGATTAGGTTTAGGCAGTAGGTGCTAAGTCGGACGGACGGATTGTTTGAGTTAGTCGGATTTATGATGATTTTGGGGATTGCTTCGTCGGAATCAAGGGCTCTGGCTACTGCATTTGTTAATGTATGGACGTGGCTATCTATGTCAGCTGTGTTTATATTTTGAGTGTTGGGGATGGGTCTGAGGTTCTGTAGGATTATTGTATTCCAGTGGATCGGACTTATTTTCTGAAAATTGAGTAGAGACTTGGGTTGGTTGTATGTTAGTCGGTTCTGTCCTAGATTTATGGTAAGGGTTATTCCAAAGTGGTCTGAAGGAAAGTCTTTTATGGTTTTGCAGCCATAGGTAGATGTTAAGCTGTCTATTGGGGTTGAGGAGGACGCTAAGAAAAAATCAATTGAGGAGGCTCCTCTCGGATTCGGTCGTGTGGGTTCTTGGGTTGGATGTAGAGACAAGAATGGTTGGTCTGCCAGCCATCTCTCCAAGCTATTTCCAGACGTGTTGGTGTGTTCTGGACGGTACTCAGGCCTATTCCAAGATGGGTGTTTCGCGTTCAGGTCACATCCCACTACGAATTGCTCATGGTCCTCTATTTTAGCCAGCGAGTGCATTAGAATGTCCAAGTCTGTGCCTAGTAGAGGATCTTGAGGACGCAGGTACAGAGAGATTGCAATCAGTCCCGTTCTTATATTGTTTCTGCTGGTGTGGAAGATTTGCACTGCCACAGCCTCGATGTATTGCATTTGGTCGATTTTCACACGTTCGTATTTGAGACCATTTCTCACGCAGATGGCCACTGATGTTGCAGGGCTTCTTGTGTTATTCTGCGTGGTTGTTAAGCTTGGCATCTGTTGTCTCACGAATTGGTAGTGGCTTAATCCGGGTGAGTGTAGGCATCGCAGATTGTGCTCAGCGAGCAGCATCAAATCTGGCCTGTGTTTGTTAAGCAGCTCGTTTAATTCTTTCCGCTTCCGCAGTTGAACGATGCCATTGACGTTTTGGAACATGATTTTTACTGGCATTTTAGTTGAGCGCAATTTGAATCAGGAAATCTAGAATTAGTTGCCTCTTTCCCTTCATATCCGTGCTGGAAGTTGGATACTTCTTTACAACGGATTGCATGATGTCGAAGCAGGTAAGCAGATCTTTTCCAAATGCATCCACAGAGTCCTCATTTAGTTGTTCAAATGAAAAACTGGCTTTTTCTTCAGCTCTCTTGGGTTTCTCTTGGCGTACTCTGGGTGTTTCCTTTACCTTTACCTGTGGAGGCATTGGTCGGCTTTTGGCAGCTGAGGCGTAGCTTCGTCCCTTTTCAAGTCGGCTTTGTGGTGGGGCTGGAGTTGTGATGGTCTTATTGGCTTTACTCTCTGTAGTATTGCGCCGTTCGGATACCTTCTTAATATATTCCATTCGTACCGGGCAGATCTTTGCATTGGCCGTATGGTTACCTGAGCAATTTACGCATTGAGTTTTTTGTGCCGAATCTTCTTGGCCATCCTTTTCTTCCCTTTTCTTTAGGGTGCATTGGCCTGGGGCATGCGATTTCGTGCATTTGACACAGCGGAATGTCATTTTGCAGTTGCTTTCAACATGGCAGAATCGCTGGCAGTTGTGACACTGCTTTATTGCGTTTGGGTGCGGCTTGAAACCCTCGATGTTTATGCGGCAGTTGAGGAGTGTTGTTACTTTAAATATCATGTTTATTTTTGCCGTTTTCTCCACTTGCACCATCCACAGCCTATCCTTGTATGGCTTTACCGACAGGATGTTCAGCTCAGGCACGGCCTCAATAAGTGCTGCTTTTACTTCTTCGGCATTATACACTTCGAGTGGCAGTTTCCTCAGGATTATTGTGTGTGGCTTTACTTGTTTGGGTGTGTAGCTGTAGTACAGCACCTTGTCCTTGTTAAAGCGTTCCTTTGTCTGGTTAAAGTCTGCCAGTGTGAAAACCTTAACATGTATCACATTTTTGTTAATAATGTTTAAAGTAAATTTCTTTGCCGTTTCCTTAAGGATTGTAGTTAGAATCTTGGCATTTTGGTGATACGTCACTATGACCGGTAGACCTTTCTCTTTTGCAGGTTCTGCTACCGGTGGTTTTTTTGGCGTCACATTTCTTTTTGGCACAGGCATTGGTTTAGTTGGTGTTTTGGGTGTAGGAAGTTTTGGATAGTTGCTCACATCCTCAGTAATTGTTTTGGCTGGTTTCTTTGGCGAGGGCGGTTTTGCACTTTTCTTTCTTTCCTCCTGTTTCGTTGGTTTTGGTGTTGATGTGGTGCTGGGAGTTTTTTCCAGGGCGTCAAAATATTTTTGGAACTTTATTTGCTGTTCACGGAGGTGTTTTAGCTCTGCCATTATTCGCTCCATCTCAGCACGGTCCATTATCACAGTGTCGATTTCCGTCTCACATTCACTGATGTCATCACCTTCACTTAGGTCCTCGCTCTCGCTCTCACTGTCTGTTGTGGAGTACAGTTCATCTCTGGTCCTCTTCACATTGTCACTT